AACTCACTATAAATACAGATAAAACTAATTATATATTTTCCGACATAACAAAATTAGAAAAAAGGCAATATAAAAATATTAATCAACTATACTGAAATAAAAGAAATAGAAAAAACTAAATATTTGGGCATGATTATAAACCAGAAACCAGAATGAAGTGACCAAATTGAAAAAATCAAACAAAAAATTGCAGCACTTTCTGGAGCCATAAGAAGAAATAAGACATCTTGGAATTAAGAACAAGGAATTAATATTAAAATCTCATATAAGGTTGTCAAATATCTCCCTTCCGCCTTTTTGTATTATAAACCAAGAGCAAAAAAGCGGAAGGGAGATATTTGACAACCTAATATAATGCCGATTATGACGTACGGCATCACGATTTGGAGCCAAACAACAAATAAAAATATAGACACTACAATGAATGATAAATAAAGCAATAAAATCAACTTACAATTATCCCTACCTCACCCCATCAAAAGAACTTCTATAAAAGACAAAAAACATACCACTACACAAAACAATAGAAATAGAAAAATGTATACTAATATTCAAAATAACAAAATCAAAACTTGCACCGCAATAGAGACAAACCAGTATATACACGACCATCAAACGAGACAAAACCAAAACTTTCACATGAAACATGCAAAAACTAGTAAAAGACTTGCAAGTCCTCTGAGAAGTGCAAGCAGCCTTTACAATAAACTACCGGAGGAACTAAAGACAATGACGGACCTAAACAATTTCAAAATTAAATTGAAAAATTACATAAGAGATAAATGAACATAATGAGATAAAATTCCTCATTTTAAATACTATGTTACTTCTGTTCTGTTAAAATATTAATTACAATTAAGTATAAGTACGTATGTATGTACGCAAGCGTTCTGTGTATATAATAGTAATAAGTAAAAATATATAGATGTTTTAATGTAAGTCTGTTACATAAAATTTAGATTTATTTTTGTTATAATTGCTGTGATCCCTCATACCAGAACAATTGTCTGACTGAGATACAGTATGTACGAATTATATCAAATAAATAAATAAAATAAATAATTTAGTGCAAATAAAGGAATATGATTCTCTCTCACAATCCTGAATTGAGGAAGAAAGTTTATAGAAACAAATTGGAATATAATGCGAATTATTATATGATTGTATATAAATACGAATATAACTTAATTTTATATTGATACATGTGCATCTGACTAAGTACCAGTTATTGTACGTAATTCAATTACTATTAATAATATACAAATGTAAATATAAAATATAATAAATCATTCTGAACACATTAATCAATTTATATATGTTAATGTGTTACATGGTATTTGTTATGTTAGTTTTTATTAAATAAGTCTTACCTTTATTTTCAGGTCTTTTAAACCGCTTGTTATGTAAACAGGCAAGATGAATTTGTTTCAACAATGTATGGATATACAATTTATAAGAAAATTGTTTCCATTAAAGCAACATCTCTGAATGATAGGTCATTTAAATGTGACTCCTCGGATAGTGATAAAGAATTCAAGCATTTGGTCTCTTTAAGGAAACACATGAAGAAAATTCATAATAAAAAATTGAAGTATAATAAAAGAACAATTGTAATACAAAATGTGCCCAAAGTTCCCGTTCAATTTAATATAATTGTTACTTACATAATTTTGAAGTCATATATTATGTGTGATTTTCTTAGAAACTGTAAAATTATTAAACAATTGTACTTCAAATTTATATTTATTGTATGTGGCTATAATGCAAATAAAGGCCAAGAAAACAAGCAAAGAATCAGAAAATATATCAGACATAATTTCTGAATAAATAAAGAGACTTTAAAACGTACACATGTGTTGAATATATATTTATAAGAATTAGGCAAAATTTAAAATATAATTGAGACTCGTTATTATTCTAGTTGACTGTCTAGTTTTGGCGGAAACAGTGTTGCCAACAAGGCACCACAGTGCCACCAATCCTATGGTGTTACCACATGTTGCTCTATAATACTGGGCAATTCCGAGAGATAGCATAACATCAATTTAGAAACACTGTTGAAACCCAAATTAACAATAGATAAAGATGAACAATTTCCATGTGTGAACTCTTCAAATACTTATCTTATAAACAAACACATTGTTTGCCACAAAAAATCTGAAGACTTCATATGTAAATACTGCAATAAAACATTTAAATTGAGTCATTTACAATCACGCAAGAAACCAGAAGAAGATATTGTTGGCTCCTCGAACAAAAATCAAAACATGACACGCATAATAAAGTTTACCTCTATAAAGCCATCATTAAACCAATTTGGACATACGGCATACAGCTATAGGGATCAACTTCCAACTCAAACGCTTTAATAACCCAAAGATTTTGAAACAAGTTATTAAAAGAAATTTTGAAAGCACCAAAGTATGTTCCAAATTGGTTAATACACAAAGACACAGAGACTAGCACAGTTAAGGATGAAATAATCGCTTACTCACACAAATATAGAAATCGCCTAGCTGATCACCCGAACTTGCTCGCCAGAAAACTTCAGAACAACTCTACCAGGGCCCGATTAAAAAAAAATTTCTTCTGCACTAATCAACAATAGTTAAGACCTTCGACAAATCACTGGCAATGGTCAGATGATTTGTATTTTGCCAACGCCTTCAGTTTCATGCCAAATATTTTACTTGTTGTCCGTTTATGAACAGTTGTAAAAATTATTAAAATAATTTAAAAAAAAATACAATCACACATAAAGATTCATACAGGTGAAAAACCTTTTATGTGCGAGGTTTGTGATACACCTTTCTTTCTACAGGTAAATTAAACCTGAAGATAGTTCTAAAAGGAATTGCTTTCTAACTTCGTGCATGTGTAAAATGCAATACAAAAACTCAGAAGCTTCTCAGGACTACACTGCTTAGAATGCTGCAAATTACATATGAATATCATCATAATGTATATTAGAAAACAACAATTATCTGTAGAAAGAACTATAACTATGAAAAGTAGTTGTGAAACATTCTAATGGAATTCTAATACCATTTAGCCATTTATAGGTCTCAAAAAGTAGATTACAAATATGATATACTTTAAGTTTCCTA